ACCATAGACCCATGAGCCAAAATAAAGCTTTTCTCCTTTAGGTTGATTTATCTCAAGTGTTTTATCACAGCAATGGAAATTGCCTAACACTTCTGGTCAGGATCTATCACTCCAGTGCCTTTTGGTAACTCGCTGAGTTAAATTGCAAGTGCCAAATAACATGTCCTTTGAAAGACCATGGAGGGATGAAGATTTGTGAGAGGAGAAAGAGAGCAATTTTGAGATCTGCCATCACTGGTGGGTGGTAAGGGTGGGCAGGACAGGATGAAACTTGTGTTAGCATTGATGGAGCCACCAACACCCACAGGACCCCAGGAGACCCCAGGCTAAGGTCGGGCATCATTGCTAAGAACACTGCAGGAGAGTAAGTGAAACCTGAACTGATGAAGATATTTCTAAGTTGTATATAATTATTTGCATAGGAATATCCAACTAAAACGTCCTAGGGAGTCACTCAAATAAAGCCAAAAGTTGAGTTTCTACCATGTGTTGGCTATTTGGGCAAAGACAGGAAACAGAGATGAACCAGACATGGCCCTGTGCTCAAGGATGTCAAGAACTCTGTCTACAATAGGAACATGTGCTGAAGGACACACTTGGTCTCAGCCCTCAAGGAGCTTGTACTGTGAATTCAGGAAATAGAGAAAGGACCTCTTGGTACATTGTTGAGTCAAGCATAGTTTGGAAAGATTTTTTTGAGGACAATTTGAAAGCATCCAAAAAATTAAAATATGTCTACTTTTCAATTTATAATTCCACTTTTTAGTATATCTATGCTGGAGAAATATTTGTATGAATATATTTAAAGCAATATGTTTTCAAAGATGTTTGCTACAATATTATTTATAACAGTAAAAATACAAGGGACAATCATTGGAAAGATGGCTGAATACATCAGGTTACATCCACACCGCCAACTGCTATGCAGCTATTGTATTGGACTTTATGAAATTGACATTCTGGCTACTTTTGACTTGGAAATGGAAATTTCATTCAGTGAACAAAGAATAGGAGATTATCCATTTCTTCGTATTTCTTTTTTGGTACCGGGGATCGAACTTGGGACCTTGCGCTTGCAAGGTAGGTGCCAGAACTGCTGAGCTAAATCCCTGGCCCTTCATGTTTCAAATGAGGATAATATAGTGCTTTACATTGTGTATACAGTGCAGTATCACAAATAAAGCACCTACTATGTGAGCACCTACAGTGCTCAATAAATATTTCCTGATTACCTATAAAACAGGGAAATATCAGTTGCTTTCTAGAAGCAAAGAGTTACACATTAAAATTAAACTCAAAGAGCCGGGGATTTAGCTCAGTGGTTCCGCCGCCTGCGTCGCAAGCGGAAGGACCCGAGTTCGATCGCCGGTACCAAAAAAAAAAAAAAAAAAAATTAAACTCAAAGATTAAAAATAAACTTTAAAAAAATACTGTTTGGAAACATAAATATGAACACACTTGGAGGGGTGGTGTGTGTGTCCATAAACGCATGCCTAGGAGAAGGATTAGAAGATCCTGCTCCAAAATGTTCAGACTCACACTGTTCTTTTTTTTGGCGGTACTGGGGATCGAATTCAGGACCTTGCGCTTGCCAGGCAGGTGCGGCGCCATTGAGCTACAACCCCAGCCTTTTTTTTTTTTTTTTTTGGTACCCGGGTCCTTGCACTTGCGCAGCAGGCGGCGAACCACTGTTCTTAATGGTTAACTCAGAGGAAAGGGAGGCGGGGAGGTAAAGAGGAAACTTCTCAGTCAGGTTCAGCCCAGAAGCAGAGTCATTGCAAGAGCATGGCATGTGCACAGCCACAAAAGGGCTGGTCACAAGGAACTGGCCTTATCAACCATGGGGCTGGTCCGGGAGCTTCTGGAAGGCTTTCCTGCTTTGTCAGGTAGAGCCTGGAGTCCAAATGGCAGGTAGTCAAGAAGGGTGAGGGATATAAATCGGGGTAGAACAAGAGGTTAGAGCCTCCAAACAGGAGCTGGAACCCATGAGTATGGGCTCAAACATTCATCAGTTCTTATCGCATCTGGAAATCTGGCATTGATGGGGATTTAGCACTTGTGGCATCTTGCACTGATGGGGATTTAGCATTGATAAAGTTCTGGCAGTGGTGGGGATCTGGCACTGGTAGGGAATCTGGCATTGATGCAGTAGGTGTCCTGCCCAAGCACGTGGCATGGAAGTCAGAGAAGCTGAAGAAGAATCAGGGGAAGGAGAAGAAGCAATTGCAGGCCCAGCAGCTGTTTTACACGCATGTAAGCCGTGAATCAGCAGAGCAACAGCATGTGTGAACTACAAAATGACACTTCTTCCCTTCCACTCTCCAAACCTCCAGGAGTGTGGCGCCCTCTACCCAGAGACATACTGGAAAGGGAGTCTGGGAAATGTAGTTCAGGCTAACCTAGCTGCCACCTTCCAAAGTTATCAAGGGGAGTGTTGCATTTTCCTGTATGTACTTCTAGATTGGTTGATTGTTTTACAATGAGACTATATAATTAAGTTTCTTGTGACTAAAAAAACAATTGGAAAACTTATAGGAGAAAGTGGGGGGGGGCAGTGAAAGAAAAAGAGAGACAGAGATGGAAAGAGGGGTATAAAACTCCTCTAGCCAGTGAGGTTTGGAGTTCAGCTGTAGTCAGCAACCTGCTGAGATGACTAACAATTTGGTCCTACTCACTGCTGCACACCTGTCTCAGCCACTGTCCCTCCACTGGGCTGCCACAGTTCCTTCTTCACTGCACTCTCTGCTTCTGCTTTCCCTATATCAATCTGTCCCCACGTCAGTCTGAGTGATGTTTCAAAATGCAAATTGGATGCTGATGTGGGTCTATTTACGGATGCTCCAGTGGCTCCTCATTACCTTTAGGATGAAACCATCAACCAGAACTCTGCACAGTTCTCTGCAGGACTCTCTGTGAGTCTCCCCCCACCACACACCTTCAGTGGTCACAGACCCTTGTGTGTGATAAAGTTGTCATGCATATAATGGTAATAAAAGTTGGCTATTTACTGATTATCTACTATGCTTGATATCCTTCTGGGTGCCTTGAACATATGGTCATATGTCATATGCACAGCATCTCCAAAAGCGTTAGCTATCCCTAGTTTACAGACAGGAGACATTGAGAAACATGTAAAATCTCATGATAGTATGTGGCCCAACCAGGTATGGTGCCTGCCTGGGTCTGATTCTTGGCTCCTGAGCCTGACATCTGCCAACAATGCACTAAACAAATCTTTCTTCTTGTCCTTGTCACACTGTTTTGGAATTGTTGACCTCTCTTGCTCTGGGCAGTATTCCTTAAGAGGACAGGGTTCTGATCTTAGTTCTTGGTATTCATTGCCATTACATCTAGGTAAACACACAATATTGTTCAAAAGCACCAATGTGCCAGGTGCCAGGTGCTTGCTAAATGTTGGAATTTGGCCAGGGTTGCTGTGGGGCTGTGGTCTATGATGGAGGAGATAATCTCATGTTGTAATGACAAGCCCTGATAGAGCCTTCAGGGAGGGCATGACTGGGTGGGAGCATGTGAATGGTGGAGGAGCAAACTGGCTTTAGGCAGGGAGGAGGAGCACGGAGACATTCCACCGTGGGCTGTGCCACATTGGAGATGTGGGTCACGCAAGTCATTCAGCTGAGTCCCCAGCTTCCATGTGCCAGTAATGGAGTAGGTGGCTCCTACCCATCCAGGTTCTTAGAGGAAATTCGTGCAGCCCTAGGATCCTCTGCTTACCCAGTGGAAACAATGGGTCCCTTTGTCAGCTGCCTTGCTTGGGTGCATGTTGTGCTGTATCCCCTCCTCCCCTTCCCATCTCTTTGTTACTGACTTGTTACTTTCTAGCTGCCACCAATATCAGTACCCAGTGGGACAACTAGAAATAAACACATCTTATCACCCACTTCTGGGAAAGAAAAGGGGTGTTTTTGTTTGTAATTATACTGATACTTTCAATTTGTAGGAGCTTAATGTGTGCCATGCCCCGAGGAAACCCCACTCCAGAGATGAGGATGCTGCAGTACTTGGGGTTGGCTCGTCTACAGCCCCACAGTGCCACTGCTTGGAAGCTAGACCATGGCCTTCCAGAAGGTTTTGGTGCTCAGATCCAGCCTCTAAGGGCAGACAAATTCAGACCCACCCACCTTTGTGTGCATGTGGCATGGAGAGCCCACAGCCAAATGTGTAGCCTGCTAACTGGTCATAAAAGGGGGTATGACTTTTGCAGATGGCTCATGTACCCACCTATCCACCTGCCAACACCTTCTGCTTTAAAAATTCATTTCAGATGCTATATCGTCAGCAACATTTAACTGTGTTTCTGGGCAGTTTTTGCCAGAGGAGTTTTCCTGAGGCTACCAGGTAGGAAACTGGCCAAGAAGACTAGAGGAGTCACTGAAGAATAAACTCAAAGGTCTTTATCCCCTGTTCTCAAGATCCTTCAGAGAATGTGCTAGTAGTTTTATTGGAGCCTTCAGAATGATGACTCTGATGTACCTTTGAACTTCCAGTGCTGGAACTTTTGCTACCATACACTACAGTCCTCCATTAGTCCTGGTGCCCTCCCGTGTCATCAAGGGGGAGAAAAGCTGGGTACTTAGTATTCTTTGATGGACTTTATAAGTATACCAATTAGTCATTTTCCAGGATGGTAAGAATTCTCTATATCACCTCATACTGCCTTTCCAAGCTCTGTCAACCCAAGGGGACAGATGCTTGGTGGATTCAGACTCTCCAATTTATTTTCTCAGCAGGTTAATTAATTAATCAAGGAATATTAGTCATTGGCTGTCTCAAAGCTTCCTCTTCATCCCTTGGAATCTTTTTCACTGTTCCTTTTGCCTTTAAACCCTTTTAAGGATTGGAGTCTGGGCTAAAATGACCCAGAACATTACCCTAAAAGCTGCTCTCTCTCCCAGCATGGCCCAGAAGAACTGCCTGCCCCGAGATCATAGGCTGGTGAAATAAACATCTTGTCTGCCTGTCACTATGGTTTATTCTAGAGCTGGTGATGTTGCTGGAGTGGTGGTCAGGTACGGAGTGCACCATATATACAGACCCACACGTCTACCCCAAGTATGGAAAGGAAAATGCCATCGTGATCCTGAACCACAAGTTTGAAATCGACTTTCTCTGTGGCTGGAGCCTGTCTGAGCGCCTTGGGATCTTAGGGGTAAGTGGCAGGCATGTTCAGATGCCTCACTCATTTCTGTGTGTCAGTACTGTAACTTCCCTTTTTTGCTCTTGATCATTTAGAATTTGCAGAAGAATCAGCAGAGTTTTGTTTTTACAAGATGAAATGTTCTTTAAAAACTGCTTTTCATTCTTGCTTAGGATCCAACATCTTGGGATCAGGGTTAACATCTTAAAAACAATAACAAGAGGTATTCAACTATAACTACCTGCCATGTATTTTATATACAGTTAGTTTATTTAGCCCTTACAGAGACATTTGTGAGTAACTAGATGACATACTACCTTCCCTCCTTAAAACACTAAGTTATAGAGAGTTTAAATTTCTGCTCACAGAGCTGTTATTGGATTTGAACTTGTTTAGTCTGACTTCGATTCATATTCTTAATTACTCTACTGCTTGCTTGGGTAGCAGGCACAGTTCACCTCTGAATTTTATTGCTATAAGCTTAAAAAAAGTTAATTGCTAACTTTGATTGATATAGGCTTAAAAAAGTTAAATCCTAAGTAAGAAAGTTTGAACTGCTGAATTTAGAATATTAAATTCTCTTTCCCCTCAATTAGTTTGACTTCTTGCACATAGCTTGTGTGCATTGGAACTGGGTCTCTTCAGTTGACCTTTGCCATTTTTAACACATCAAGGCATATCGTGGTTGAGGCTGTACCATGTAAGTGAGTCAAAGTCATCAAGAGCACTCAGTTATTGCTGGAGAAGCCACAGCATATATTGGATCAAGGAAGTAAAGGCTCTGGCAGTTTGCACCACAACTTGGAGATTGGGAAACTGGAAACAGTTCCCTAACAGGCGCACATCACACCTGCTTTTGGTAGCCTTTGAAGATGAAATCATGGTGTTAGGATATAGAAGATTGAGGCCACAGAGGACAGATGGAACAGATGGAACTAGAGGATTCAGTGGTCTAGTTCCTCCAGGCAGGTGAAGAGAGCCTTTTGCCAACAGGGTCTCCTTTGTTTTCCTATTTATAATTTCAATGGTTTTTTTTTTTTAAATCTCTATGCGTGTGTGTCCAAATATATTTTCAGAACAAAATCAAAAATTCTAATACAGTGCTCCCCCTTTATCCTTGGGGTGAGTTCCAACACATCCTGAGGATGCCTGAAACTTCAGATAATTCTGAACCCTATATGTCTTATGTTTTTTTCTATATATTCATATCCATGATAAAGTCTAATCTATAAATTAGGCATATGAAGTGATTAACAATAACTAATCAGGTAGAATAATTATAATGATATGCTATAATACAAGTTATTAAATATCTATGAATTATTTATTTCTGGGATTTTTCAGTCCACATTTCCAGGCCATAGTTGACCATGGATAAGGGAGAACTACTGTACCTACCTACTTCTGTCTTAGAGACCTCAGACAGAGGTCTTACTTACAGTTTTCTGGTTTGCATTCTCTCTGAGGCAAGACCACCCCTTAAAATGTCTTTGTCACTGACCCCATTGGTCATAGACCCTGATTATTAGTTACAGGGCCCTTCTTCTGATCCAGAGAAGGAATATAGTGTCCTGCATGCTGGAACAGAGCTGTTGTAGAACTCACCTACTGACGTGCCAGTGTCTCTGGGACCCTGTGCTCAGTGTGCAGTGTAGTGGCAGCTGGTGGTCCCTGGTTTTCTGGGTGGTTTTTGTGGCATTCCTGCTCAGGTGTGCAGACCTGCGTAGTTGCAAGGAGGAGTCCCTATGGCCAGTGGGCCGGCTGGGCTCCAAGGCACCTTCAAACCCCTGCTCTGCCCTTGTAGCAGTGAGACCCTGAGCACTTGGGTGGCCTGCCTCTGACTGTGTCATTTCTAACCCTTATACATTACCATTTACACTTTATAAAGAAAAGAGCTCGGAAGTGATTTACCCTGGGACAGCAGCTAGTGAGTCTGATTCCAAAGCTCCACTCTTCCACACCCCTAGATAAAGTTGAGAAGAAAAGCTGGGGCCTGAAACTCAAGACCTGCTGCAGAGACCAGAAATGACAGGCTAACTGCAGGGGGACTGGCCTTCTGGCTCCCTCCTGGCTCAAGGTATGCACAGGGCTGGCTCTGAAGTGGGAGTTGCATTAGGGACAAGCCACAGGAGCTTACAAGGTGGAGCACAAACGGAAGACAGCGGAAGCAAGTAGATGGCCCAGAGGCTTTGCTTAGGGGGAGGCGGGCACAGGTAAGAGAAAAGACGAACACCTGGCATTGCACCGGAAAGTGACACAAGAGAGAGGACTCAGAGCTGAGAGGAGACTCCAGCCCTGAAAGGGGATGCAGTGCTGGAGAGGGACCCAGAATCAGAGAAGGGACAGAAGCTTCAGAGGTGACCAAAGGCTACAGAGGGGACCCAGAGTCAGAGAAGGAGCAGCTGTCTTGCTGCAGTGCCTCTGACTTACTCCTCTTTAAGGTTTTTGTTTTCCAAAGCCATCACAGCCCACGGTGACTTTACATCCATGGGCGTGAGGTCCGGTGTGGATGTATTAGGGGTTCACCAGAATGCCCTCCTTCCTGAAGCACTGGGACTTTCCATCACCCCCCTCAGTAACTTAAATGGATTCCCCATTTAGAGGATTTCACATAGTGCCACTAAAACCCAAACAAGTGCTGTGTGTAAAGTGGTGTGAATATTGCCAACTTGGTTGGTGGCCCCATTGAGGATTTAGGAGTTTGGGAAGCTCCACCTCAATATGATGTCTGTGGGTCTCAGAACCTTAGCCCAACCAGGACAGTGCTGCCCATTCTCCCAGAGCTTGGGATTCCCACTCAGTGGAACCCTCAGCTTTTCTGAATTCTCACCAAAGTGCTTCCCTGAGAACAGAGGGAGAGCTGAGAGGAGGTGAATGATTTCCATTTCCTTCAAATAGCAGAGAAATGGCCAGTACCATTGCTGTATGGATTCTAATGAAGAAAAATGCTGTCAGAGGGTGGGCACTGGTAGAGAGGATGAGGGCGGACAAGTTGGAGGAGGCCCAGGAGGAAGAGGGAGAAAGGCAGGACCTTTCAGATGCAGGTGAAAGCTACCAGGCTTTGTCCTCCCGGGAGTGCCCTCCCTACCTAGAGGGAGCAGCTTTGCCACCTCCCAGGGGACCTGTGGCCCCCATAGAGCAGATGACACCAGATGAGATGATGTTAACCTCTTTCCCGAATGACCCAAGGAATCCCATGACGTTAGAAAGGATGAGAATAGCATCTTGTTATATCAGCTGATCAGCAATATCTTTTGTCTTCAGTGACCTTCAAAAAGAAACCCTTATTCATCTCCCTTTTTTCTCTAATAACATATGACACCAAGATCCTTCTGGAGTCTGAGGAGATTGCTTTTTACAGAAGAAGAGGGAGAAAAAATCCCCAGAAGGTTCCTGACTAAGCATTTTTTATCATTCTCACCTGTAACATACCAAGGAAAAAAATGAGTTTAAATGGAAGTAAGTGAAATTTGCAGAAGTGCTTGAACAGGGTTTATTAAGTTGGTTTTGAGGGAAGAGTGATGGGATTCTATCTAAAAGAGGCTTTCAATCTTTTAAAGACTCCATGGCCCTCATTGGTATGGCCGATGGTCAACTTCCAGCCCACCTTGGAGGCCCAGGCTGGCCCATCACAGCCAGGGCCAGGACTCCAAAGGCTTGGCTTTGGATCTCTGACACATAGCAAATCCTCCCTAGAGACAAGGGTGGCCCAGGGACAGCTAAGGGCATGTGCTACATACCACAGTGCCAAATGAATTGGGCTATGCAGGCAAGGGTCAAGGTTTCTGAGGCTTCGGAACCCCTTTGCTTGTCTTTTTGCTTCAGTGAGATACAGATATGCCAAGGTGAAGCTTGTGCAGAGTCTGAGCCGTACAGGCCTACGTTCCATGGATGGTACTATTACTATCATCAGTGTTCATTGGGTGGATGGGCTGTAGCTTAGAGGTGAATTCTGATGCCATCTGGAGTATTTTCCTGTAGACCCTTGAAGCTGTGTGTCTGAGTTGTCAGTGGCAGTGTGATGAGCCCCAAACTGAGGAGTTTGGAACCACAACATGTGTGACAGTTACCCCAGCTTCATAGTCAGGAATCCAGGTGCAACTTAGAGGGCCCTCAGCAAGAATCACCCATGAGGCTGGGTCAGTGCCCACCAGGGTGGCAGTCCCACAGGGAAATGGGATGTGTACATAGCCTGCCTCCAAGCCCAACCTCAGGTTGCTGCAGGCCTCTATCCTGCCCACCTGGGCTGAGGCACAGGGTCCCCTGGACATAGCAGCCATTTCCTCCAGAATGTGCCACAAGCAGTGGAGCACCCAAGACCAAAGCCACAGCTTAGAAAGGATGTCCATCACCTCTGTCTGTTTCACATGTTAGCAGTGAGCCAGAGAGGAAAGCCCATGCTCAGGGAGGCAAGGCCAAGACTCCAGGGCCATTTCAGAGGCCCCTTGCCACACCTTCGAAGGATGTTCAGTCTGAGTCCTTCACTTTCTCCACTTAGTAAGCATTATCCAAGGATATAATATAGTTCAGCTTGGCCTGGACACAGGTTGAAATGTTGACGTTTCTTCACGAGGAGAACTGCAGAGAGAGGAGAGCAGAATTATTATTTCTGCACAGAGGCGAGTGCGAATTAGAGGAGTGGGGAAGCGGAGTTTGGAGTCTAGGAAGCCCTGTTTACCAGCCTGTGGGGAGGAATGCCAATATTTTAACAACTCCTCTAACATTTTGGAGCTCAGTGGGCTCCAAAGCCCTCCAGAGGGTGGTGGTACTGGGGAAAAGCCTTGGAGAGTAGGTATGATTTTAGGAGCCTTCCTAAAGCATCCTAGGTCAGTGATGGTGAACCTTTTAGAGCATTCAATGATACAAACAGCCCACTGCAGCATGCGTGCCATAGGTTTGCTACCACTGTTTTAAGTGATTATAAAGCTAGGGATAGAGGGTGGAAGCCACCAGGACCGGTGTCTGGAGGGAGGTCATAAAATGGTACCTTCACTCAGTGAGACTGTGTCCCC